CCCCCCCCCCCCCCCCCCCCACATTTTATCCCATGCCAACGTGCCGCCCCCTGCTGGCCTGTTTTTTTTTGTTGTTAGTCCCCTCCCCTAACACGAGTACGCCCCCCCCCCCCGGTGTCTCTGTCGTCGTCGTCGTCGTCGTTGTCCCTCTTCCCTTTCTGTCAGGAACAACCAAGGAGTCATCGAGAGCCTTGTCAGGGTTTCTCGCAAGGACGCGGATATTGCCAGGACGCCTGCGTGTTGCAAGAAGCTGCTGCTGCTGCTGCTGTGCCACCAGAGGAGCCCTTGTTTCAGCGCCCCCACGAAGGAGTAGGACGGACCCATAGCGAGAGAAAGAGGGGGGGGAGGGTGCTCTTTGGGGTGGGACGACGGTAGCAGCAACAGGCCGGGCCAGCTAGCTAAACAGCCATCATCATGGCTCGGGAAGCGCAAAAGATTATCTCCCTCGAGGACGGGTGGTGCAACAACATTAAGCCCAATGCCATCAACGTGCTGGAGGACCACCTAAACAGGGTATGTAAAGAAAAAGATCCTTTGTCAAACGGGCGGGAAAAGGTTATGATATAGTCTAGGTTAAGGGAACCTTAGCGGAAAAATATTTGTGCGCACCCAGGGCGGACGCCAGCAACGGGCTTCGGCTATGACGACAGAGAACTACAATAACTGCCTTGTTGGCAGGTATACTTGGAACAACCGAGAGATGGATAAGACATGGCGGGCCAAGCGGTATCGGACAGCGACCGTGTGGTCGGGTGTGCCGAAATACGCCTCGGTTTTGTTTTGCTCTCGAGGCAATGCTGCTGTTGGTCGTTGGGACTTGACGACGACGCCGGTCGGGGTGCGACAGCTAGCCCCGGCGCGCTCGTGCCTTGTTGGTACGACAGCTAACCCTAGACGAAAAGGGGGGGTGGTTGTTGTTTTGGAAAGATCTCGTGGAGAGTTTGCCCCGAGACGTATCGGAGACAGGGCACTGCTTCAGCACTTTGTGTGCAAACAGACTTTTTTGAGTCTCACGCGGAATGCTGCGTTTTCTGCGTACATGCACGGACTCCTGTCCCTCGGTAGTCCTGCGTGTAGAGCGTCCAACACCGCCCGGGAAGCTTTTTGTTGTGCGCTGCGCAGCTCTCTGTCGCCCGACAAACACAAATCGATCGTTGGGGTTTTCACCTGGGAGGCATGCATGCCAACTCTTTCTTTTGGCCGCTGCCGTCGCCACCATCCATCACTACCCTGTTTTCTCTTTCGTTTTTCACCAAGGGTTGGCGACGAAAGTGTTGTTTTCGTAAAAACAACAAAAAACATGAAAAAAAAAAGCTCCTGTGTGATGAGCTTCCTCTTGTGTGACCCCGGCTGATACGTCAGGTATATACGTACGCCGAAAGGCCTGTAGACCGGCGCCAGCACAACAGATGGGACGAACATACACACATACACACACACAACACACTGCAGGTCGTTGTGCTTGGCACGTGTGTATTGGCCTGCGTGATCGTAGGTACGATAAGTGTGGGCGCGAATTTGTTCGTTTTTTTTTTTTTTTTGTCCGTTGGCGACCAGGTGTACTAATATGCTATCATGTATTGTTTTTTTGCGACCAGGGTTTCGACAAGAGGACCTCGCAGCTGTTCACGCCGAAGGACTTCATGAGCACCTACACCACGTGCTACGACATGTGCACCCAGCGATCTCCCTACAACTGGTCGGAGCAGCTCTACGACAGACACGGGGAGACCATCTCGCAGGTTTGTCGGTTGCGGTGGCGGGACAGCCCCGACGTGACACAAGATACCACACCCCCGTGTGACCGATTTGGGACCGATTTTTAGTGCTCGATTACTCAATCCAAGGCAGAGACGGCGGCGGTCCCGAGAAAGGACGGCTTTGGAACCGCCTCGTCGAGAGGTTTCCGAAAGCTTGTCACGTGATTGTTTGGCATCCTCTTCTTTGTGAGTATTTTTAGGTTTGATAATCGGCCCAGTGGGGTGTGTGTGGTATCTTGAGTCATGCCACCTACGGTAGTCGGCAGGTGTCGTCTATCCGCTGCTGCTATGTGTTGAGGACTACGCCTGGCGTGGTCGGTTCTTTGATGACGTGTTCTCGGAAGGATGGTGGTCTCGTGTTCTCGCCAGCCAAACAGAGTGCAGGAAACCATTTTGCATTTTTGAATTCAGACGTTGATGTGTTGTGGATGTACGGCGATGTAGATGCGAAACAAAGTATTTATATTTGTCTTTTTTGCCACGAGTTATTATCGCATGTGCACAGTTCAGAGGTCGAAAAACTACGCCCGTTCAACTGGACCTTGCACGACTCAGCTGCTGTGAAGCAGAACAGCTCAAAATACACTTGTGCGATTCTTCTGGTGTGTCGTTTTTGCGATCGATCTTATCTGTCTGCATGAATTCATGACAATGACGTCACGATGACGTCACGACGCAGTACCTGTCGGGGACGGTGGTGAACGCGCTGAGGGAGCAGCACGGGGAGTTCCTTCTCAAGGAGCTCGTCCGAAGGTGGTCCAACCACAAGATCATGAACCAGTGGATGCAGAAGTTCTTTCAGTACCTGGACAGGTGAGCCGGTTGTTCGTTGTTTCCCTGGTATGTAGGTATGTAGGAAATAAATAGGGCCGCCTTTGAGCGCGAAATTAAGTTTGTGAGGAAATAGAACAAGGGAGGGGGGTGCGCAGAACCCTTATTTAAAAGCAGAACCCAACTCCCCCGATTGCATGCTTTATCTGACATGTTTGCTTAGAACGAAAAACCCTGCGGAAGGCTACGTACAGTATCTGTACCACCATCGCTGCTCGCGAACGCCAGGTATGTCGCTTCATTATTTTGTTTGGATATTTTTTTTGATGATATACATGCATTCGCTGAAAGACTACAGTACCCGTTCGAGATGTTACCACAGGGTAGTCGAAGGGAATGTGTTGAAAGCTAGCTCACATTTTTCTGGCGTGCGTACCACACACTCGCATGTTTTTTTTTTTTTTGTTTCGTTCCGTGTGATGGATGTACCTCTGGAATGCCATGCAGGTACTACGTGAAGCATCACTCGTTACCATCGTTGAAGGAGGCGGGACTGAAGCACTTCAAGACGCTAGTCTACGATGTCGTCAAGTCGGTGCGTATGCCGTCATGCTGTTTTTTCTTGTGTCCCGCCTTGATTTCTGACGATACTTTTCCGTTCAAGCGTGCTGTGCCTTTTCTGCTCTCGTGCCTTTGCCTTTCCCTCAACACAAAATTAACACGTGCGTACAATGATTCGCTACTGCTTAAGTGGAAAAACATCGCACACACACCATCTCGTCTGAGCCTTGACATGACAGAGGGTGGCCCGCGCGCTCGGGCGCGGGTGTGTGCTTGTTGGTTTGCTTGTGCTGGGTACCGTCGATTGGTTGTGGGGTGGGGGGTTCCAGGGGTTGAAAATCCATGATCTTATTAAGTTGGCGTTCATGTGTCTGGATTTGCTGAGAAGCGCTTCAAGACAACCCCGGTCTGCAACAAGCATCGATGCGGTGCGCTCTTTTCCCGCTTCAACACGCGTACGCTTAGGGGAAACCCCGGGGACACTGTTCATTTGTCCCCGCACCTTACCTTCAGCAAGCGGCGGGATCGACTGGGTGATGGGGTACAGGATCGTCGAATACACCCCTCTCTTTTCTGTTTTTTTGGTTTTCTCCCTCGCAGCAGCAGTCAAGGCTTTTTTTGTGGATTGCTATTTAGTACCATGGAATATAGTTGTCCTTACAAGTCGATTTCAATTCCTGTCTCTTTTCGGGCTGCGGTGTTTTCCCACGGTTCTCCTGACTTGACTGCGGTTTTTTCCACCTTCGTCGTCGTCGTTGTTGCTCTGTCCCTTGCGTTCTGTCGGTGGTATTTTCCCACGGTTCTCTTGACCTGACTGCGGTTGTTCCCACCTTCGTCGTTGTTTTTGTTGTTGTTGCTGCTGCTGCTGCTGCTGCTGCTGCTGCTGCCCTCGCGTGCTTTCGGCCTTGGTCGCGTGCTGTGTACTGTATCGTTCATACGTGCTTGTTCTTTCTCGTAGACGGTGGTGAACGCGATGCTGGACGTCATCAACAAGGAGAGGGAAGGGACGATCATCGACCGACCGCTGATTGGGTGAGGATAGGAGAGAGAGGGATAAGGGGAGTGAACCAAGGCAACAAAATTGCTGTTGCTATGCATCAACGAGACATGGTTTGCGATCTTGGAAAGACGCACACACGCTCACAGAGAGAGATAGAGAGAGGGGGGGGGGGGAGAGACAGAGACTGAGACAGAGACAGAGAGAGAGCGAGTGAGACAAGAATCTTAATTTTCTTCACTCTTTGTGTGTTTGCATCATTATTTTTTTTTTATTCAGATCGTGCGTGGAGCTGTTTGAGTCGATGGGGATGGGTACGCTGGACTCGTACGTGGCGGACCTCGAGGAGGCTCTCCTGGCCAACACCAAGGACCACTACGCCAGGAAGAGCCAGGAGTGGATAGAGACAGATTCCACGCCGGACTACATGATCAAGGTGTTTTTTGAGTACATGATTTGACTGGACAAGAGATTGGTGTTGTGATGGGCCAGGAGTGGATGGAGACAGGATCCACGCCGTACTACATGATCAAGGTGTCGTACCTTGTATCATAATAGGATCGAAGTGGATTTGATTGGACAAGAGTATTTCGAGGTACTACACGACTCAATGTATTTACATCTTACACTACACGCGCAACAACTGGCGCAATGGCACTGGTAGAATTTTCGACATGTTTCGTATTCACCCTTGTTGTTGTTGTTGTTTTGTGCCACATGATACGGTTCTTTTTTAGACCCTATGGTGCACGGGCAACAACAGCTGGTGCGCTTCTTCCTTTGGTTCACCGTTTATTTTTTTATTTTATTATTTTTTAGGCGGAAAACGCCCTGGAGGCTGAGAAGCTACGAGTGGCCAACTACCTCAACCCGTCAACGGAGGCGAAGCTGCTGCGGGTCTGCGATGACGAGATGCTCGAGAAGAGGTGGGCAGAACGCAACTCGACGGAGTTGGAACCATCTTGCCGGTCTTGGAAGCAGTAGCCATGTCTGGGAGCATGAATGGGGGGGCAGCCTACGTGTAATTTTGGTTTTGTTGGGGACGTGTTGGGTGGAGTTTATGGTTGGGAGCACGAGGGGGCAGCCTGATGCGGGAAGTGTGGTATTGTTGGGGAAGTCCGTGTCGGGTGGAGTTTGTACAGCAGTGCGCTCGTGTATCTCCAGGACTCTTGTCAGTACAAAGTATTAATCGAAGTGAGGTTTTTGACCTCTCGTTTGGTCGGTCGTCTTGGCTTGGCCCCACGCAGAGAGAAGATCCTTCTCGAGAAGGAAGGCAGCGGGTGCAAGGTTCTCCTCGCCAACGACAAGTCCGACGACCTCAGCCGGATGTACCGCCTCTTCAACCGCCTCCCCAAGGGACTGGAGCCCATGGCGGAGATCATCAAGGACCACATCACAGAGGTACGTACGTAGGTTTCGCGTTCATGCGCGCACACGCGGCGCGTTTACGTTCGTGGGGGGCGGTTTTCCTGCGTTGGCGAATAGACGTTCTTGTTGGGAATCGTCGGGCTCGACGGGGGCATGGAGGGCGGGGCAGAAGTGCTTGTTATTGCTGAGGTGGTGATGGTAGTGGTGATGGGCGGTGCTGATAATTGGGGTTCGCCGTGAGCGGTGTGGTTTGTGTCGGTGTTGCTCTTGTCACGGGCGTGTGCCGTGCCGTGTACACGTACGGTTGGTTGTTGTTGTGGTTGGTTGTTTTGCGTCTTGCACAGCAGCAGTAAAAACCGTTCCAGTCTCCGCTCAACGGTACCTCCAATTATCCGTGTACGTACGTACGTACGTATGTCCAGGGGACGCGGACGGCGTCCGTGTTTGCAGGCCAACTACCCGAATATGGGTTCACACTCGTAGCAATCCTACGGAATAGTAAGGGACTCGAAGAGTAGTGATATGTGGTCAATCTATCTCCCTTTCTGTCTCCCGACTGCCGTAGGTATTCGACCACGATGTGTCGTGTGCGCTTCTGCGTTTATTTGTGCGCCTGGCCTGCCCTGATGTGCCGTTTCGCTGTGTAAATTGTAACCGTCCCTTTTGACGTATCCGCCGCTGAGAATTAAAAAACTGTTGCGCGAAACGCCCCGCTGCTTCGTGAGGCGCCCAGAACTAAAGATTCAGATTGAGCTAAATATAAATGCAAATATTCACCTCTCTTTCATGTACGTAGAATAAGATTGAACACAAACAAACACGCAAAATGAAGAAGATGCCCCCACTTCCCGCGACCTGTCTTTTTTTTCCAGATGGGGAACGAGATTATCAAGCGACGGGAGGCCAAGATCGAGGGCGGGGAGAAGGACACCAACCAGGATCCCAACTTCGTGAAGGAGCTACTGGCCCTGCACGACAAGTACATGGCCGTCGTCAACGACCAGTTCGCGGGAAACTCGCTGCTGCAGAAGGCGCTCAAGGAGGTGAGCACTTAAGGGGCGCTGCGGTTGCGTAGGAGGGGGGGTTGTTCCGTCCCTGCTATTTCTGTCTCCGGTGTGCTTACGGGGGGGGGCGCCGCGGGTTGCATGTAGGCGGGGGGTTCCGTCCCTTCTATTTTCTGGGTAAGGTGTGCCTCCGGGAGACGTGCGGGGAGGGCGCGCCGCGCGGTTGCGTAGGAGGGGGGGGGGGGGGTGTTCCGTCCTTGCTGTTAATAGGCTCCGGTGTGCCTGCGGGACACTGATCGCGGTGATGATGGGCGACAACCGTTGCTTGCTTATGTGTTGCAGGCGTTCGTGGACTTCGTGAACCGCGACGTGGGCAAGTTCAAGAACGCCGACCTGATGTGCAGCTTCTGCGACCGCATCCTGAAGACGGGGGGGGAGAAGCTCGGCGATGCGGAGGTGGGTGATGGGCATCTCCCTCTCTCTCTCTCTCTGTCTCTGTCTCTTTCTGCGTTTTTGTCATTATGATGGCATCGACCGCGCTAATGGACTGGCCAACGATAATTCGTCAGTCTCAGTGCGGCGGGCAATACCGAAAAAACGCTTCTGAAGGCCATGCGCGTGTATGTCTTTAGTATATGTAGGTATCGGCCGCGCGAACCAGCCGGCCAATGAAAATGTGCCTCTGTTGCCTCGCTTCTCGGTGTACGTTGCTGACCCGACGTTCCCCTTGACGTTCTCTGGACTTTGCTGACCTGGCCAAACACCGGTCATCAGGTGGAGGAGTATCTGGCGAAGGTGGTTCAACTGTTCTCTTACCTGACGGACAAGGATCTCTTCGCCGAGATCTACCGCAACCAGCTTGCCAGGCGTCTGCTCAACTCGCGCTCTGCGTCGGACGACATGGAGAGGCTCATGATTGGTGCGTGTTTGTTTGTTGGTTTGTGTTCTCATTGCTGGTTATTTCAGACCAGTACGTACCAAAACCTTTTCGCTTGTGCGAGGTTGCGGATATGGCCATTGTACGTGGGGCGTGTTTTTTTGTAGTTTTCTTGTAGTGTTTGCGTACCGGTACATATCAAGACTTTCTTGCATACCAAGTGTTTTTTCTCTTGGCTAGGTAACCGAGTTGCGGACGGCCACTGTAAAGAGTCCTTTTTCAGCACGTGGCCCACGCCCTAGCATCAACTTTGGTTGCTAACGTACTACAACGGAGTTCATGTCTTGTACCCGTTTTGCCCCTTTCTTGGTGAGCTTATGTCTTGTACCCTATTTTGCCCCTTTCTTCTTCGTGGTGAGTTTTTTATGTCTTGCACCCTATTTTGCCGCTTTCTTGTTCTTGGTGAGTTTATGTCTTGTGCCCGACTTTACCGCTTCTTCTGTACTTGTTTGGTATACAAGTGAGCTAATGTGTTGTACCCTTGTTTGCCCCCTTTTCTTCTTCGTGGTTGACGGCGTAAACTATTAGGCAAGCTCAAGCTCAAGTGCGGGTCGCAGTTCACGTCAAAGATGGAGGGGATGATGAACGACTTGGCCATCGGCGGCGACCACGAGGCCGCCTTCTCGGCTTACCTGAAGGACGGACAGGAGACCAGGAAGATCGATGTCGCCAAGATAGACTTCAACGTTCAGGTGTGTAGTAGTAGTGTTATATCAGTACTTGTTGTTGTTGTTGTTGTTGTTGTCATTGTGGTGGTGGTGGTGGTGTTGATGGTTCAATTTCAGGTTTATAGTTGTAGTGGCGTTGCTACACGGGGGCACAACTAAATGACGTGTACCGACAGCTACTGACGCGGAGAGTTTCCTCGTGGCGCCTTTGCTGCCGAGTGCAGAAGAGGTCCCAACTACAGCGGGCGCTACTACAGCCGGGCACCCCTATTCCTCGATCTCGCTCTTTTGGTGTCCCCGCTACTGTACCCTGTTGCCAAACCAATGCGTGGAGGACAGATCGGGCGGTGCTGTGACGGCTGGAGCAGGAAAAGTGGGGACGTCGGCGGTAGCTGAGACGGTTGAAACGGATGGGACGGGGCAGGAGGAACGCTCGTTCTACCAGCGGCTTTTTCTCGCCCCCGAGGATCAGTCGATTGTCTACCCCATCTACGGTCTCAAATGTGCGCT